TAAAAGAACTGAATCCAGAATACAACATTATATTTCCTATTACTATTATATTTTTATACTTACCTATACTCACTGAAATCTGAATGACCTGTATATGTGCCTCTATAACTCATTTCATTCCTATTCTTGGCATGATTAAATCCAAACCCTTTAAAAAACTTTATAGTACTAAAATTTTGTTCTCAGTCTTAACCATGTAAAACAATGGTAACTCAGTTTGCTTCCTTTAGCAGCATTACATGTACTGCAAATGTAATATTTTTGAGTGGAGATTTTGAAACTTGGATGATTTCAATGTTATGTTTTCAACACATCTGCAATCTTGATCACATTTACACTCTAATTCCTGTTACTAGCCAATCAGTATTTTTTCTAAAAAAAATTTCTAAAAAAGATATTGTGAGTTTTTCTCTTTGGAAATTTAAACAAATTTGATTAAGCCATTTTAAGCCATGTAAATATGAAAATAAAACTACTTTTCTTATATATTCCATTAGAAATGTTGTACTCATGCCTTAAAATGCACTTTAAAAAACATTTCTAAATAAACTGATTATCATGGAAATGTACACTATCTAATCCACTCCTTAAGCAAAAGAAACAGTTTCAGTCCTCATTCAGGAAAACAAAATACTTCAAAACCAAGGAAGAGCAGGAGTGTATTTTCATTTCTAAGGTATTGTTTCAGAAAAACAGAGCAATGGGTGAAATTCTGTTTTTATTTTTGCACCAAAAAGGCCATTCTCTAGTCAAGTAAGTAGTGGTACCTACACACAGGTTGTCATCTTCTTCTTGTGTCTCTACACCACATTTGACCATTTTGTTACACATGCTTGTTCTCATTTATTGTACGTTGCAAGATCTTTCATTTTACATGTGCCTTTGAGCAGTGGGCATAGCAGTAGGTGTTGCATAGTCTGAGGCTCTGTGGTTGAACAGTCACAGGTGGTTGAACCAATGGTATAGCCCCACTTGGTCATTAGTTTCTTGGAACATCTGAGTCCAGTACGTATGGGGGGAGGAAGGGAGGGACATAGCACAAGTCTTCACATTGTGAGCCTACAGATAATAAGTGCACATTTTGCTAACACTCCAAATCATAATTTTAACACAGGTTGTGAGATTTTATTATCCCTGCATGTGTGGCCATGTAAGCACATGCACATAGGCTGAGCAAACATGCTCAGCCAAGCAGGTATGTGGCTATGCATGTGTGCCCATTTTGGAGGCATAAGTGTGTGTAAGTCATGAGAATGTAGCTGGCCAGTACCCATGATTAATATGTGTTAGAAGGGCAGGGTGGGAGGAGGGGAAGGGGAAGACTGCTTTAACCCTGATAGCTGAGTGATTAGGGCACTTGCCCAGGGAAAAAAGGACCCCCAGTCTAGTTCCCTCTTTGCATGGAGAATGACCTTTATCTTTCTGACTTTTCAGCACAACATTTTAACCATCATTCCATAGGTTTGGTTCTATTCAGGGCCCTCTCCATGCTTCTTCTTGAAGCTGGTCCCCAGTGTTAGCCATGAGAATAAGGTATGTGGGGCCAGGAGAAAGACAGCTTGCCAGAGGGTGTGTGGCTCAGTAAGATAGCTGCTGCCATCCTGGGTTCTAGCCTGGGCCTTAGCTTTCAGTGGCTGCATCTACATGAACAGCAGCCTGTGCAGTTGTTACTGTGCAGTCATTTAGTACTTGCATAAGCAAGTACTAAATGACTGTGCAGTAACTGGAGCTATTGCCACATGGAACTTTTCTGATGCTATTGCACAGTAGCAACAAGCTACTGAGCAGTAGCTCATTACTACTGTGCAGTAGCATCATGTCACATCACGGTCAGTGCCCACAACTCTACTGCCCAGTACATGAATGACTGGCGGGTCACCATGGCGATGAGCAGCGGGTGGGGACTGCCTGCAGATTCTGGCATTGGTGTCAGCAAGCGGGGATCGCCCACAGATACTGGTGGTGATGTCAGCGGTGAGCAGCAACTGCTTGCAGACCCTAGCAGCTGCGTCAACAGCAAGGGGTGGGGGTGAGGGGAGTAGGTGGCAAGTGGTGACCACCTGCAGAAGCTGGTGGCGGCTTCAGCGGCGGCCAATCTTAGGGGGGACATGTACCACTCCATGCCCCCCCTACGTGTCACCCATGGCATGGTAGCAACGATATACGGCACAGTAGTTTGTTGCTACTGCACCATAGCATCTTGTATAGACGTGTTCAGTGGAGCAGAGACTTCTGCTCTGTTTTCCATCTAATCATTATTAAATGCAAGAGGAAGTGACTGAGCTTCAAAAAGAATGCCAGAGAAAGACCTGGATAATGGCTAATCTGTGGCAGGCTGGTTAGGGTACTGTGCTGGGAAGTTGGAAAGAAGTTGGACAGCTAGCAGTTGGGCTAAAACTTCAAGGGAGGCAAAGTGTGCTACTGCTTCCTTCTTCCTACTCTTTTCTTGGACTTCAGTTCAGGTACGCACATACATAGCTGTGTACCTGTCTGGCCAAGGCATAGCCTAATGAACATGCTTAATCTATGTTCAAAGCCCATGCTTGCACAGTGCAGGAATAATAGAATCACAATCTGTACACGACTGCCAACAATGTTACTAGAAAATTTACTTTTAGGTACACAAAAGGAACAGAATTCTGCTGAATGACACAAGAAAAAGCAGTAAAGAATACAGTTTCATAGCCTATAATAATTACTGCAAAATGGATCATAATTATAGGCAGTAGTAACTTTCTTGCTGAGCTATAGTATTGTCTGACTGAGCACCTGACTTCTGCAATTCCTTCAGATCACTTTATGTGCCTTAGAAAAATTTGTCTACAGTTTTAAGTTTGCATGAAAGTTACTGACAGAAATTCTAAATCTTTGAACTTTAAAGACCCCTTAGTTCACTCAATATATGAATGCTTTTGTAAAGGTATCCTGAATTAAATAAAGCTGTTAAAGCTCCTAAATGAAGGATGACTCAGTTAAGGTATCCCAAACTGAGTGCAATCAGTTAAAGTTGTTTAATCATTTGTAAATGGGTTTTTTTTTGTCCTTTTTTCTCATTACCTTTCTTATTATTTTCTTAAACTGACTCTATCTTCATGGCCAGTCCTCAGTTTCCGGTATAACCCACAATGAGTATGTGAAATCAAGAAGCCCAAAGGCTGACCTAACTTTTTAAGAACTGATGAGGTTGAGTCTAGTACAGTAGTGCAGAAAGAGAGACAATTATATATATGTTAGGTGCTGGTCTAGTTTTTCTGAAGACAGAATTGTTTCCCTTCCCGTATTATTATACTGGACTTAGCATCCGAGTTAAGTAGATGTGCTCTATGACAAGAACACATTGTAGCAGAATATTCTGATCTGGGAGCTTGATTTCTCAACATCGAAGTTATAGTCTTGCCTTAAGTCTTCCATTTGCTTATTTTTAATTTCAAATAACTGCACTGAAAATTTTTAACGTACTATTGCCCTGAGCACATGATACAAAATCCTATGGATGTCTAGTAGCCAGTAATATGTTGGAAACTTAAAAGAACTCAAGGAATAGAATAGCACACTACCAACTTAAAATCTTTTAGGTTATTTTATTTACAGTTGCGCAATCACAGTGAAATCAATAAGATTGTTAAAATGAATCCCTCACAAAATCAGTTAAAAATTTGGGGGGAAATGTTCGCATTTCTATTTTTTTGTGACTGCTAATACACGTTTTTTCCCCAGTGGGTGGAATGTCATATTGGGTTGAGGGGGGAGGAGGGGACTTCCCACTCCTCTCAGTGAGAAAATTTCTCTTCACTTGTAGAAAAGAGCAAGTTGCAAACTCTAAATTCAATGACATCTTTGCTGGGGCATGATCCTCTTTGAGGCAATACAAGCTGTCTTGGTTTTACCCAAACCAAATTTCTGAGAGAGAGAAAACTCCCCCTCAGAGACAATTGTGAAGGGTTTTGCAAACTTCTAGAAGTGATTCTCAACCCTTTGAAAAGCAAGGGGCACATCTACACATGTGCTTTAATTACTGTGCATTAAATATTACTGTGTGTACTGATATTACTGCGCATTAAAGCATTACATTAAAAAGTGCAATTACACTAATGCACAATAAAATAGGCTACTACCGATTTCATAGACATTAGGGCTGGAAGGGACCTTGAAGATCATCAAGTCCAGCCCCTTGCCCCAGGGGCAGGAAGTCATTTATTAAACATCACTTTAAAAATGTGTGCTTTCAGTACTGCACATTAGGGCATCCTCATGGGCATTTATTTAGTACCTCACACTGGGGGTACTAAATTTAATGTGCGTTGGGAAAAGTGCATTAATGCACATGTAAATGCACCCAAGGTGCCTGGCCATAGGCTTGATAGCTTTGTGGCACCCCTCAGGATATGCCAGCTGCTAGCTTTCTTGCATTTTTTTTTTTGACTACAGAGAAATAACAGAGCAATTTTTCTGCCGCAAGAAGCTCAGGAAGATGAGAGCTGACAGTGGTCAGCATGGTTTTAAGTCTGTGGGTCCCGGCTGGAAATCTCTGGGTTATGCATGGAACAGCGCTAACCTGGCAACACCCTTGGGAGGGCCCCCAGGGCCCCCGGGTGAGAATCACAGCCCTTGCTCCTACAAAACGTGCCCACCTCACGGATTTCAAATGATCCTTATGGCTTTCCCTGCCGGGTTTCTTTTAGATTTCTCTGTCGGACTGGAGAGCAGCCCTCCCGGTAGATCAATCTCCCTCGCCCCTGAGCCCAGCACCTTTCCTGCCTCCCCTCTGCCAGTAAGAGGCGGCCCGGCTCAGCCCCGCAGGGGGTGTTTCCAGAGCCGATACCCGGCGGGGCTCTCCTCCGCCTCCCGCGGCCGCTGCGGGCTCTTCCCGCCCCCCCCCCTCCCGCGGCCGCGGCGGGCTCTTCCCGCCGGCTCAGCGCCTGCTCTGATCCTCTCCCAGGTGCCTGGAGGCAGCGCGGTGCGGGGCCGGGGCCGGGGCCGGGGCCGGGGCGGCTGGGACCATGAGACGCTCCCTGCTGAAGCTCTTCCAGGGCAGGGAGAAGGCGGCGGATCCGGACACCTACCACGGCGTCGTGTGCGAAGCGGACGCCGCCTCAGTCGCCTCGCAGGACGTCTTCAAGGTAAACGCGGGCGCGGGAGGCACTCGGGGCTGCCTGATGCGGGGCGGGGCGGGGGGCACCCCTGGCATCGGCGGGCACAGCCAGGACGGGTAGATGCAGCGAGCCGGGTTAGGCTGAAGTCCACAAGACAGCAGTGGGGATTTGCACCTTCTAGACTAACCGCAGTAGTAGCGGTCCATCGGTTGAGCTAGCGACCTGTCTGTCTACTTCGGATATGCGTCTGTCTGTCTGCTTTGGTTAGTCTGGAAGGTGCAAATCTAACAGCTAACATAGACAGCTATCCATCTGTTTGTCTGTCTGTCTGTCATCCATCTATCTGTCTGTTTATCTACTTTGGAGATCTATCTATCACCTGTCTGTCTATCTGTCTATCTGCTTACTTCGGTTAGTCTAGAAGGTACAAATCTAACAGGTAAAGATAGAGAATATATCTACTGTATCTAGTTACTATATCTACTTTGCCTAGATGATCTACTTTGGTTAGTGGATAAGGTTCAAATCTAATAGCTAAAATAGATGATCTACCTACCTACCTACCTACTTTGGTTACTCCATAGAGTGCAAAACTACCCTGCCTTCTGCTCAACTTCAGGCGATATACTTGTCTATATAGCACAAGCATTCAGGAACTGTAGCTCACTTCTCAGAGGCTGATCTGCATGAATAGTTACCACTGCATGGGATTGCACTAGTGGGGCTCATGCTTGTACATGCTTGCAAGTGGGCTTGGGACCAGGAACAGAACTGGAAACCTTGGGACCCTTTTTTCCTGGTGACTCACTAGCATCCAGGTGTCATGACACACAGGAGCAGGGATGGTAAATGTCTTCTCATGTACTGTCAGGGGAGTTGGTGAACATGGGGAAAGGGGGAGAGGGATTTCCTTATGAAGCCAACAGCAAGCTCCCTTTAACCTCAGTGTGAGTGTTATGCAACTATAGGTCTCAGACAAGTTTGGGGCACATTATCAACAACAAAGGAGCCAGACTTTATTTTTCAGTCCCAGAACTTTATTTTTCTATTACTAAAGTGACAGAAGTTTAAAAGAGGCAGAAAGCACTCTTTCATTTGGAGTGGAAGTGGTTAAGGGTGTGCATTTGTTACACTTTAAGGCTTGGCAAAAATGTGTCAAAAGGGTGCCTTTAGTAGGTTTTGCTCTGATTTGCCTTTTGTAATGGTAGTAACAGATCTAGTTCTTCATCACAGAATCCAGCAACTCCCAATGAATCACTGATACGAGATACCCATCAAAGTGCTGCTACCAGAATATGTTTTAATGGTAGCCATATTTAATAAGGAAGCATAAAAGGTAAAAATCCCCATTTCTGTGTACAGCCAAAGCAATTAGTCCATGCATAAAGAAGCATCAGAGCCCCAGGGATGGAAATATCTCTCATACTCAGGATTGCACAACATTATTTCTTTGAGATCTCCCCTGAAGTCTTACTGTTGCAGTACCTCCCACAGCTTTTGGGTCAACTGGAATGATTTATGGAGCCATGCAATCGCATCAAACTGTCTCCATCCTGTTCCAGGTTTAACTTATATTATGTCTATGTTTACTGAGGCACAGGGATCTCTCATGGAGCACAGCTCTGCAGTGCATAGGAGGCACCATTTCAAGGTACTTTCCTCCCCTCACACAATGCAAAGTAGATCCAGCTATCTTTTGTGGATGAAGGAGGGTTCACCTATGCATGATCCTAAATAGAAGGCAAGCATGCTTTTACACTGAGAGACTTAAAGAGAGCTCTATCAATAAGAGTTTATCACAAAGATGTGGAGGTGACTTGATCACAGTATACAGTTATGTTCACGGGATGAAAATACCAAATGCTGATGGGCTCTTTAATCTAG